TAGATACATTTATTCCTTCCTTTTATGGCAGTAACAGGCTTTTAGAGAAGAAAATAAATATGTATATCATAACTACTTCCACTAGTTTGCCTTTTTTATGGTGTTCCATAGCTTTTGTATTGGTATATAATAGGAGTGGGTAAAATGGCCAGATTCTATCTGTTGATGGATCTATTTTCTTTTTTGTTGGACCACAACCATATACACTCCTTTACACATTGCCTTTCATGCTGAAGCAGAGTTGAGTAATTAAGGAAACCATGTAAGCTTAAGTATTTACTGTCTAGCCCTTTGCAGAAAAGATTTTGCAAATCCCTGGCTAGCAAACCAAACTCAAAATATCTGAAAGTCTATAACATTTGCAGATGAAAATTAGTATTAATTTTCATCCTCTGAGAAAGAACATAAATATTTGTGTATTAGATCCACTGTCATATTTGTTTGGGAACAAACTTCGTGTATTCTATTGCCAGTCAATGCTAACATCTTCACCTAGATTCTACAGGTTTACATTTGCAAAGAATTGTGAAAGGGAGTTTGAGTCTAGTATGGAAAGAACTGACAGGCTTTCAGATATACTGATAATTATAGTCAAACCTTTAAAAAATAATGTGATACAGGCTTTCTTGCTCTCTATGTCCTTTGTAGGGATATAAGTGCTTCTCAAGGTACCACTGTTTTAAATAAAACTGGAAAATATCACACAAATTAGATAAGCTACTGATGTCCCCTTGGAACTGACTGTTCATCCTGCTCTTATAAAATACCTGAGACTGGGTAATGTATAAAGGAGAAATTTATATCCACCAATTATTGAATCTAGAATTCCAAGATCAAGGTACACTCAGGTTTGGTGTTTGGTAATGGACTGGTCTCTGCTTCCAAGATTGCACGTTCTTGCTGTTTTCACAGGGTAGAAGGGACAGAAAAACAAAGGGGACCTGGCTAGTTTCTTCAGCCTATCAATAAGATACTAATACCATTGGTAGTTCAGTCATCTTCTGAAAGGCCCCATCTTTTTAGTACTAATATTGGCACTTATGTTTCACTTCAATTGAATTTTGTAAGTGATACAAAGACTCAAGCATAACAGGACCCTTTACTAAACTAAGTCTTAAACAATTAGGGACTCATTATTCAAGAACTTAGCTTTGACTTAATAGTTTTGCATCTGGGACTTTATCTTAAAACTCAGGGATTGATAAAGTGAATCTGTTTATGTTGTAATTACATGTGTTACGCTTATTGCAAATTGTCATAGAAGCAGTTAGCATTTGAGTCATTGATAGACTATCTGACATTTTTGTCTATATGATATTAGCTGCACAGCTCTAATTTTCCCCTCTGCTTAGTTTTTTGTTTTTTTTTGTTATTGGTTGTGGGGCTTGAACTCATATTTCACGGTATTGTGGAATAGTGATACTTAAAGTCACAAACACATTTTAACCTGCACAAGGCAAATTGTCATCATGGTCTTTAAGTTTGTGAATTCTATGAACTATGACAATACAATTATTTCTTCCACATCAGGTGATGTTTACATTTCTTTCCTTTTGCTTAGTGTAGGCTGTTCCCTCTTTCCCTCTAATTTCTCCCTTCCCATCACTGTCTTTGGGCTGCTTAGTTCTTTTTCATCTATGTCCAGTGCAGCTGATGGGCTCCTTTGTTGTTCGTTGTTCCATTTCCCACTTATTCTGTGTCTTCCTCCTAGCTCCCCTACATTGTGTGCATATATAAATACCGTATATGTGATCAAGAGCATGGAGTCATTTAACAAGGATACGACAAAATGAGTGGCTGTCCTTTGTTTCTTGAGTCCTGTTTACTTTGGGTAGAGCTAAGATTAAATGCAGGTAGGCTTCTATGTGAGGTGCCAGCCACCATACTTGACTTAATAGAACCAGGATAAACCATATCCCAAATTTACCATTGTGTGTAATTCAAACAAAACAATGCCCTGGTAATTGTTTTTGAAGGTTTTTTAATCGGTCATTGGAGATATAGGAGCAAGATTATTCCTATTCCTCAGTTCCACATTTTTTCTCTACCATTTCTTAGCAACTCTATAGATGATTTTTTTTGTCCCCAAAATATAAAAGTTTAAATAAGTTTAGTTTCATTAAGTTAAAAGATAACATAGTGTCTTGTATATTTTATTGTTACAATGGGTCATCCTGTAACCTTATTTCAGCATTTGTTATTTCCGTTCCCCTCCCCAAATAAGTACAAGATACTATGTTGAAAATGAACTTTACAACTTGGTGGTGGGGTGGGAGGGGGGGTAAGAAGTTAGGGAGGTAGGGAAGGAAGGGATGATAGGGGAAAAACAAAGGAGGAGGTAACAACACTTGATAGGAAATGTAGTCATTAACTTACTCATCTAACTATAACCCTTCTGTACAGTATTTTTACAATAAAAAATATATAATAAAAACAGGGATGGATATACCTAAAAAAAAGTTAAAAAATAATTCAAGAAAATTCATTAGTATTACTTGGTTTAGTTGCTTGGATTAGTATTGCTTGATATGGTTCTAAATGTTTGTTCATACGAATTTTATATTTAAAAATACTTTTATGTGTTTTTAGATCTTGAGAATGAGTTTTTCTTGTTATTCCTTTTGCTTTTTTCCTCTTCTTAGGGCTCAAACCATGGCCTTACATATGATACACAAATCCCCTACCAGTGATTTTTAACCCCAACCTATGTTATTCTTTTTGGTGAAAGGATACAGGCTTCCTTGCAATCATCTTTTCAATTTTGAAGGATTTTGTTTTGTTTTGTTCGTACTGGACTTTGAAGTCAGGGCCTTGCCCTTGCTAAGCAAATGCTCTACCACTGAGCCACTCTGCCAGCCCTTTTTTTATGGTTTGTTTTCTACAAAGTCTTTATGGACAGGCTTGCTTGGACTGTGATATATTACTGCTTCCCTTTGTCACTGAAACAGCAGTAGTGTACCACCTTGCCCAACTATTAGTTTAAATGGATTCTCAAGACCTTTTTTGTAGTATCAAACTGATTTCTTAATCTCTGTCTTACAAGTAGTTAGAACTACAGCTAAAGGTTTGAGCCATTGCTCCCAGCCAATTTTTTTTTTGATTGGTTGTGGGACTTGAACTCTGGGCCTGGGCGTTATCCCTGAGCTCTTCAGCTCAAGGCAAGTGCTCTACCACTTGAGCCACAGCACCACTTCCAGTTTTCTGAGTGGTTTATTGGAGTTAAGAGTCTCACAGACTTTCTTGCCCAGCTGGCTTTGAACCACGATCCCAGATCTCAGCCTCCTGAGTAGCTAGGATTCAGGCATGAGTCACCAGCCAGCGCCCCCGCTGGCTATTCCAGCCTATTTTTAAAGTAATTCTTTTCAGTCAAAAGAATGTTTTAGCTGGAGGTACTGGTCATTCCATCCTATAATTTTAACTACTTAGGAAGCTAAGATCTGAGGATTGAAGTTTGGAGCCACCTAACACCAAAAAGAAATGGAGCTTAAGAGGTAGAGCTCTAAAGTGAAAAACCTAAGGGACAGTGCTCAAGCCCTGAGCTCAAACCCTAGTACTAGCACACAAAAAGCATTGCTTTTACTATTTGTATAGCTATGACAAAAATCTTACATAAGTTTTATATCTTTCCTTAAGCTTTTAACTCCTTTGCTATGCCCAAATTTAAAATGTATCTTTTATTCGAATGGATAAATGTTCATTTTAATTAATTTAACTGATTTATTTTAATTAATTTGAATTTAATTTCAATAATTTTAATCAAATTGCCATTTTTAAATGAAAGAAATTTAACAGAACTGCCAGTTCTTATTTTATAAATTTATTGGATTAGAAAGATGAAACTTCTATTTTTTATTTCTCTTGTGCAGTAACACTAACTTTATCTAATTTTTTTCCATATTAGTGAATTTCAATAATAATTTACCTTGACTACTTGAAGAGTATTTCTTATACTGTATATTTGAATAAGTACAGTAGATTTCTCAATCTGTGTTTTAAAGAGTCAACTACAAAAATTTTGTGTGTGCTAATACTGGAGCTTGAACTCGGGGCCTTGTGCTCTTACTTAGTTTTTATAAAGCTCAAGAATGTCACTTTACCATTCGAACCACACCTTCACTTCTGTCTTTTTGCTGGTTAGACAGTTGTCTGCTTGATCTGGCTTCAAACTGGGACTCTCAGATCTCAGCTTTCTGTGTAGCTAGGATTACGGTTATGAGCCACCAAAGCCTGGCCCAAATAAAGTTTTTAAATTTGGAATAAATCTTTCACTGATTTGTTTATAAAAGTTAGAGCCAGTCATCTGGCTATGAGGGATTCCTATGGACTTCCTTCTCCCCTCCAGCCCCTAAGGTACTCTGTCATTTAAGCCAGCACCTAATCTGATAGTAAATTCACTATTATCCTTACTTTATATGAAGTCTTAAGTTTTTTCTCCTATTTCTGTAATACTTATTGTTGAACTTTGAAAACAGCTCAGACTCTCCTGGTACAAAAAAATCCTTTCAAAGAAGCAGCAGTTTCCTTTAGCTATTTCTAGTTTTATTAACTTTGGCCAAGAATAGCCTATTGAAGCTTTTCAAAAGATCTTTAAAGTTTTTTTTTTTCAGTGTCAGGTCCAAATAGAACTATTATGTTTTATTCTTGGAAATGGATTGTCCTATTTCTCATTAAGCTGAAAAATGTGTAACTTGATTTCATGTTAGCAAGTTTCTGATAAACATTTCAGACCTCTCCTTCAGTTAAGATTATTCAGCTTCACATGATAGCTGCACATCAATAGTCCCAGCTACTCAGGAGCTACACAAGGAGGATTGCTTCAATCCAGGACTTTGAAGCTAGCCTAAGCAACATAGTGAGACTTTGTCTCAAAAAAAAAAAACTCTAGCAAATTCCTATACTTATACATATATTTTAAAAATTCTTTATATTTTCTGATTTATATAGGTCTACCTTCCTAGTGCTTAGAATCTGAGAAAAATGGCAAATGTGGACAGAGATTCTAGACATCTCATCTCAAAGGAAGATCATGAAATAAATCCTGGTTCTATGAATATACAGTTTGATTCATCAGATCTAAGATCCAAAAGGTAAGAGTTAAAAACACTTATTAACTGTTGATAAAACCTTAATTTGTTATAGAATATGTTTGTTTGTCTATGTAGGAGGATATGAATATTACTATTTTTAACTAAATATTTCTGTTGGGAAAGGGGTTGAGATAAGTTTTGCAAAGTAAGATGAATTCATTTAATTCACTCTAGTGTATATCAATGTATGCATGTTAATATGCCAGGGGCTAGAAACAGAGCAGTAAAAGTAACAGACATAACCTCTCTCTTTATTGTACTTAAACAGCAGTTTAAGATAATTTGAGATTAACTTTTATTTCAGTTTGTATGTAGAAAATTCAAAAGAATTTGTTGAAAAAAAGATAAATAAAAGAATTCAATAAAGTGGTTTTTACCAAAGTAGTTAAACATAAGGCATATTCTACTCCCCATAAATAAACTATATAGAGATGTCATACTCTTTAAATTTAATCTGTACATTCAGTGAGAATTCCCCCCATAATGAGAGCAGCCAATTCCAAAGGTGATATGGATCAGCAGTTTAATTACTAACCACTAACTCACACTATCAAATGTACAAGGGTGCTTATTGTCATAATTTTTGATAGCAAAGATTGAAGGCAAACAAAATGTGTTTTCCTTCAGGACTAGACAAGTATAGCATATTCATACAATAGAATGTTTTTCATCTATTAAAAAGGAAAAGGTGGCTTTATTACATATCAGAATGGAATAAGTCTTCAACCTATTTTGTTAAGTGAAAAAAATACAGACCAGAATATAGAGTATGCTACCTTTTAATTAAAAATTCAATATATATATAATACAATTTGTATAAGTGTACATATTGCCCACTTAGAAACTGAGTTCTTGAAGTGACACAGTATGGCAGATACTATTAGGTAGACACCTAACAGTTAGTCAGTATACCATTCTAGTCCCTGTCAACAGAATCCTAATTTTTGGTTAAGACTTACACTGAATCCCAGTCTAGGAAATGAAAGGATTGGTATAAACTCTTCTGGATAATCTTGTTTCCATTTTCTAGATACTTAATATTTTAGTCTTTTTTGCAGCTTGAGATAGCAAACTTAAATTTATCACACAAAAAAACTGTCATTGTCATTTATAGTGGCTCCAGAAAAGGAATTAGGAACTTAATCTTGTGACTCAGTCAGTGAGTATATGTACGAATGCTGACTAAATGCTGAGGGTTTTCTTGAAACCTCTAAATTCTATGATAAACAATTGACCACTGTGACAATAGGGCATAGGTCATTCAGGTACATTCCATTACTATAAGTTGGCAGGAGTTCAGATAGTTGAAAACAGGGTAGATGAAATGGAATTGGATTTTCTATAACCTTTGAAAATCAAAGGGAATCAACTATTTACAATCATGGCACACTTACCTGGATAAGCATGGTTTAAGGAAGGCAAATACATAAAGGAACTTAGTTCTGAATGCTAATTAGCTTGTAAAATAATTTCTTTTTAAGAAAACAGAAACTATTTGGTGAGGGAAAAAAAAACTGTGAGTATCTTAAACCATTGTCTCTGTTTAAGTATGGATTTCTTTATATATATATATAAAGGCACATAGAGGAAAAAAATATCTTCCATTAGAAAAACCAACTTAAAGAACTGTTCACAGTCATTTTAGAGTTACCTCTGATTTTGGTGCGGTCCAAGTACCATTTCTGTCATTTTTGTGTTTCTTGAAAATGTTTGCTTGCTGGGCATCGGTGGCTCATGCCTATTATCCTAGCTACTCAGCAAGCTGAGACCTGAGGATTACGGTTCAAAGCCAGCCAGGGCAGGAAGATCTGCGAGACTTATCTCTAATAAAACCCCCAGAAAACCAAAAATGGCTCTGTGCTCAGGTGGTAGAGTGCTAACCTTGAGTTGAAGAGCTGAGGGACAGCGCCCAGGCCCAGAGTTCAAGCCCCACAACCGACAAAAAATGTTTGCTTTTTTAGATTAAGGTTAATTTAGCCTTACATATTTGCAAAATGATGGATTTGAAGTGTTCTTTGTGTCTTTTTATATAAGTTGCAACCAATACTATTACTAAATAGTAGTTAAATAATAAATAGTTATTGCTAAGTGCTGTTAATAGCATCCATGCTTATGCTACATAAAATCTTCTTTTTTTTTTTTGGTCCAGTCATGGGGCCTGAACTCTGGGCCTGGGCGCTGTCCCTCAGCTCTTCAGCTCAAGAGGCTTTTTTTTCTTTTTGCTTATGTGGTGCTGAGGAATCGAACCCAGGGCCTCAGGCATGCAAGGCAAGCGCTCTACCACTGAGCCACCTTCCCAGCCCCTGCTACAGCATTTTATGTGGTGCTGAGGAATCGAACCCAGGGCCTCAGGCATGCAAGGCAAGCGCTCTACCACTGAGCCACCTTCCCAGCCCCTGCTACATAAAATCTTATTATCTATAGTATTACAATTTGCAAATTATTTCACTTTAGAAAAGCATTTAATGCTTCTAAAATAGGTTCGCTTGTGTGGCTTTCTATATTTTCCACTAGATGGCAGTCAAAAATCTTATATTGGTTCAAACTTAGACTTTTAGTAACTGCTGGGGACTGAGAGAATATATTGGATCTACTTTTTTTCTACCAGTACCAGGGCTTGAACTCTGGTCTGTGTGCTGTCCCTTAACCTTTTTGCTCCAAACTGGCATTCTACCACTTGAGCCACAGCTCCAGTTTCCACTTTTTGCTGGTTGATTGGAGATATGGTACCACAGACTTTCTTGCTTAGGCTTGTTTTGAATTGCTGATCATCAGATCTCAGCCTCCTAAGTAGTACCACCAAGCACACAATCTGCTTATGTGAGGTCTAAACTTAGGTAGATGAAGGAGCTTGTCTTTATAGGGGAAGGACACATGTAGAGTCATTTGGATCATTGTGGGGCTTTTTCAAACTATATATAGTCCACATTTTTACTCAGCATGCTTCCCTCACTCATCATTTCACTTGTCTTTCACTTATTTGGGGGTGGAATGAGGAAAGTGGATAGAGACAGAAAGAACATAAAGATTTCAACATCTTCCACGTCGAATATTAGCAGTACCAGTTTAAGAATTTTTATTTCTATGTTCCCCAGACATTCTGGTATCCAAAGATAGAGCTGGTATTTTTCTGGTAACCAAAGATAGAGCTGGTATTCTGGATTGCTTCAGGATTGTGTGCTGTTCTGGGACTATGCCCTGAGGGAGTTGGCCATTCCAGCCAGCTTTCAACCAAATTGTGAAATGGTGCTTTTGTTTTCTAAGCTTTCCCTTTCTTTTTTCAGTCTGTTTCCTCTTCTACTTTGCCTCAGGCCTAGGACTTCAGTGACTTTCTCTGTATTGTCAGTGCTACCTAAGACTGGAGTTCACTCAGGCTTAACCCCTGAAGAACACTTCATATACCATATTTTTCTTCTACTCCTTGCTGTCGTATTCTTTCATGGTTCTTTTGTCAGCTTGATATTAAGATGGAAATAATCTTACATATCAAAGACCTACTCCATTACCTTTCCATGGATATTTTTGCATTTTAACATGGAGAGTCCTAAAAATATAAAATCCTAACCTATAGTTTCAAGATTTTTCTAATTGGTAACATTTCAAGTGCTCTGTTAAACCACTAGGATAGAAGTAGATATTTAAAATAGCATTCCTCATGCTCTTTACATAAACAGGGTATGCTATGTCATCTTGTTTTTTACCTTTTTTTAGTGAAAATGTTATTCTGTCTTTTGTTGTTGTTGTTGTTGGCTATGGGGCTTGAACTTAGGGCCTAGGTGCTGTCCCTAAGCTAGTGCTGTACAATTTTGAGACACAGTACCACTTCCAGTTTTCTGGTGGTTAGTTGGAGATGAGTCTTATGTACTTTTCTGCGTGGGCTGGCTTTGAACTGTGGTCCTCAGATCTCAGCTTCCTGAATAGCTAGGATTATAGATATAAGCCACTGGTGCCTGGATTCTGTAATTTTTTTAATTGTACAAAATAATGTGTTTCATTATGACCTTTTCATACACATATACAATGCACTTTGATTATATTCATTCTCTACTGCTACCACTTTCATGTCTTTTTTTCCATCTAAATTCTGTATATGACAGAAAGTTTGTAATATTTTTCTTACTGAATCTGGCTAACTTCCCTTAACATGATTATCTCTTGCCATTTTCCTATAAATGGTATGGTTTTGTTTTTCTTTATGGCTGAATAATAATACTTCATTGTGTGTATATTTATATTTTCTTTATCCATTCATTAGTTGATAGGCATAAAGACTGATTCCATAGGTGAATTTATTGTGAAAATTGCTGCAATAAACATGGATAAACAGGTATGTCTATTATATGGTGACATATTCCTTCAGCTATATATCTAGGATCATACAGTATTTCTGGGTTTTAGGGTTTTGAAGAAGGACCATACTTATTTCTGTAGTGGCTGCACTTCTTTACATTCCTTCCCACAGTGTATGAGAGTCCCTTCCCCCAGCATTTGTTGTTGCTTGTTTTCTTGATAGCTATTCTAACTAGTTGATGTCTCAATGTAGTTTTGAATTACATTCCATTTATGGTTAACATCGTTTCTTCATGTATTTATTGGCTACTTATAGCTCTTTTTTTGAGACCTATCTATTCAGGTCTACAGATGGAACCCAAGGTTTTACATATTCTGGGCAAATGCTCTACTACTAAGCTACAGTCCCAGCTTGTAATTCATATATTTATTTCTTTTTTTCTTTCTTTCTTTTTTTGTCAGTCATGGGGCCTGAACTCTGAACCTGGGCACTGTCCCTCAGCTCTTCAGCTCAAGGCTAACACTCTACCACTTGAGCCATAGTGCCACTTCGTTTTCTGAGTGGTTTATTGGAGATCAGAGTCTCTTCCTGCCCGGGCTGGTTTGAATCGCTTCAGATCTCAGCCTCCTGAGGAGCTAGGATTACAGGTGTGAGCCACCAGCATCCAGCTCATTTATTTCTAAATACTTTAAACACTTCTAAACACTTTTAAATATTAATATCTGCATTATAAATACTAGGCTATTGCTAATGTTACTTACTTTTGTACTTATTTCTTTGATTTTTTTGTTATATTAATAACAGGTTCAAAAGCCATTTAACTTTTTCATTTGAAAGTTTTTTGTTTTTTTTTCCTCACTGAAAGTTGGTTTTTTTTTTCCTTTTTTTTAAATTTATTTTATTTGTGAACATACTGTACAGAGGGGTTACAATTACATGGGCAGGATTCATTTGAAAGTTTTTAAACTTAGAAAAATTTGAATCTATATCTATAAAATTGCAGAAATTAGTTGAGAAATGAGTTAAATCCTTTGTTAGTATGTGAAATCTTCCGTGTACTTCTTCAGGTATATATAGATAAGTGTATATCTTGTTCGTTTCTTCAATTTATACAGTGTGTATGTTTTTGCACACTCATGTATCACATACACATCCATGAGTCAAGCACTAGGAATAGAACCCAGGTCTTTGTATATGCTATATGCATACACTGAACTGCCACATCCTATTCCTTTTTTCTTTTTTTTGAAACACCTTCCTTTTCTTCTTCCCATGCTTGGCTAAGTCTTTCATAATTTATTTTTTTTTTTTGCAGTTCTAGGGTTTGAACTTAGTGTCTTGCACACTTTCAGCTTCCATGCTCACAACTTGCCCTCTACTATTTGAGCCACATCTCCAGCCCATCCAACATTTTGCTAATTAATTGTATATAGAATCTAATATTCTTTTCTGCCTGGGCTTACTCAAACCGTGATCCTCCAGGTCTCAACCTCCTGAATAAGATTATCAACATGAGCCACCAGAACCCAGCTTCCTTTTTGTTGTTGTTGTTGGTGGTGGTGGTGGTGGTGGTAGTGTTGGTGGTGGTGGTGGTCATAGGGCTTGAACTCTGGACCTGGACTTTGTCCCCCAGCACTTCAGCTCAAGGCTAGTGCTCTACCACTTGAGCCACAGTGCCACTTCCAGTTTTTTCTGTTTTATATGGTGCTGAGGAATTGAACCCAGGGCCCCATGTATGTGAGGCAAGCACTCTACCACTGAGCCACCTTCCCTGCCCCCCCCCCCAAGCTTTCTTTTATGTCTGCTAAGATTCAGCTAAACTATAAGTTCCTCAGAGGTCTGCTAGATAAGGTTTAGCTCTGTTTTCTGTGTGGTCCCCATCACACAAGCCTCTCCCCTTTGTTGCTCCTTTGTTTGTATATGAGCACTACCCTTCTCCCTGTCTCATTTTCTCTCTGGATCAGAATTGCTTAGTTACTTGTTTCCTCCAGCCAGATTACTATTAAGATACTTGAAGTTCTATACCTTGTTCATGTTTAATGTGTTACTTAATGCTTAATACTTGGTTGAGACTTAAATAATTTTACATAATAAATTTGAGAACCAGTTAATTAGCCAAGATAAAGAAAACCCTGTACAGGTTTAGCCTATGGCAACAAACTCCAATAACGATAGGGTTTAGAGCAAGGCTTTTTGTGAACTATGATGATATATAGGAATCAGAAGAAATGATAAAAATGTCAACAAATCAGAGAATACCAGTATTTTTCTAGTAGCAATAAGGAATGTTTAGGTGCAGAGGCTTGATTAAGTTCTTTTTCTGCCTTTTTTATTGAAAAGGTGTTTGGCAGACATGAAATGTTTTGCCAGGCTGGTAGAAGCAAGTACAGCTTGTTCACTATTTGAATGTTTAGTTGCATGGCATTTTCTTTTCTTTTTTCTTTTTTTTTTGGGGGGGGGTCCGGTCGTGAGGCCTGAACTCTGGGCCTGGGCGCTGTCCCTCAGCTCTTCAGCTCAAGGCTAGCGCTCTACCATTTGAGCCACAGCACCACTTCCAGCTTTTTTCTTTTTGCTTATGTGGTGCTGAGGAATCGAACCCAGGGCCTCATGCATACAAGGCAAGCGCTCTACCACTGAGTCACCTTCCCAGCCCTTGCATGGCATTTTCTTTTTCCTTTCTTCCTTCCTTCCTTCCTTCCTTCCTTTCTTTTTTTTTGTGTGCCAATATTGGGGCAAAAGTTCCTAAGATCTTTTACTCAAGGCTAGCGCTTTATCACTTGAACTATAGCACAACTTCCAGCTTATTCTGAGTAGTTAGTTGGAGATAGGTCTTACAGACTCTTCTGCCTGGGCTGGTTTCGAATTGTGATCATCAGATCTCAGACTCCTGAGTAGCTAGGATTGCAGGTTTGAGCCACTGGCTCCTGGCTTCTTTTCACTTTTTAACAAATTATCCCAATCTGTCAGGTGTTAGAATAACTCAACTTTTGTGGGGGTTTGAATAAATGAGCAGTTTTAACTCAAAGTGTTAGGAAATTAAGATTAATAGACTTTGCCAGAGAACCATGCAGACATACAGGTACATAGAACAAAGGAGAGGGGGGGCTGGCAAGACTCCTTCTCACAAGGGAGGAATGAGAAGAAGCACCGGCTTTTGTCTGTGGTGACTTATATAACTTAGGGGGTTTGGGAGGGGCTAGAAGGGGCTAGGAGGCAGAGACCCTGGCGTGGACGTGTGGACCAGGGGCTTCATCATGGAGGACTAGGATTTATAGCTGCCATCCAAGTAGTAGATAAGGGGTCCTGCAGCTGTCTAGTCCTGAAGGTCACTCTAAGGGGCTCTTGTTACCTTATATGGTGGTAGCTGCCCCAGAGAAGTGCAATCCCAAGGTAAAGGGGGCTGGAAGTTGATTATTTACTGCCTTTACTACATGGGCCTGGTGTTGCCTAGGAAGGGAGCATGCTAAGCTGTGGAGAAGGGAAGGAGTGGACTAAGCTATGGGAAGGGAACTCATTTTGCTAACACAAAGTATTAATCTTTTAAAGCATTGTGGAAGTGTTAAACTTCTGAGAAGCCTAACTGGTCAGTAGAAGGGTGGAGACAGTTTTAAAGGCCAGAAATTTCTAAGGAATTTAAGGAGTGGAACTCAGAAAAGGTGTTAGTTGAAATACTGTTTTTCTGTTTGTAAGTGTATTGAATGAACACATGAAGTTTGACTCATATTTTTAAATATTTTGCAATTTTTTCTTAGTATTAAAACATTTGCCCTGTGGCATGATATAAATATTTACAAGGAAAGACAAATATAATTTCTTTATTTTCAGTGTGGTACAGCTGAACTTCATATCAAGTAGGAAGTAACTTTGATGATAAGTTATGTGAAACTGTTTAAAAGCTCAAGTCTTTTTATTCTGAGCATTATTTTCTGTATATTGCTTAATTTTAAAAGGATTTTAATATCTTACTTAAGTTCATGTTAGAAATATATTTTCACTCTCTTAAATGAAGCTTTAGACACATGTTTCTAATAACTCAGTGAAATATGCTGAGTTGTATGTTTTTATAGAGAATCTGTTTTGAAAAGATTCCAAAATATTTGTTTGAACAGGCACTCAGCATCTCGATGAAAACAGTTGGAAAAGAAAACCTTTCAGATTCATTCTGCTCTCAGAGTACCCAAGCCAACCAACTGGTACAGTTAACACTTCTGTTAGAGGCCAGGAGCCACAAAATTTAGTCCTTCCTGAACTGCTTTTCATCAGACCTTCAACCCAACTTAGTGGTTGATATTAATACCATTGAGTTTTTAGCAAAAGTTAGAAGTAGACAATTTCTATCAATATTGTACTTGTCTCTTTTAGTAACCTATAAACTCCAATCTTTGTTTTATGTAAGCATTCTTGAAATTTATGGAGCACTGTTTTTGCCAAGAAGAGAATGTACTATAGATTGTGATGCCAAGTATGATTGAACCCTCTGTTAGATATTTTTACATTATTTCTTAGCATCACTGAGTGCTATAGTAGAGATCTAAATTATATAATATATTATAATGATTTGGAAAGATTGAGAGTTATATTAAGCTACCAAATGTATAAGTAGGGATTGTTTATTTGGCCACTGAACTATTTATTTTCATGATATCTCCCTTGAAGTTTATTGATACCACTGAATTCACTTAGGAGTAAAAGCTTGGTATTTGTTATATGTCATATTGATCTCCTCTCCATTTATATATCCTTTCTTAAGAACTATTTATATATTCATTGATTTGAACCAGATTGTCTCACCATTTTCACATATTCTTAATTTTTCCCTTTATATTTAGATGCTATTTTGGCAAATAATAATAAAACAGATTTATATACTAATTAGAAAGAAAAGACTAAATTCATCATCTATACTATCATTCCTTAGATATCACAATTAGAAAAACAAATTAAATTTTTAATCATTTGCTCCTTCAAGTGCCTCCCACAAAGGGTAGGTTAACGATGCCTTCAAAAATTGTTACCATACCTTTATATATTTTAAATTTCTTTCAGAATCACTAAATGTAAAGGAGTTACATGAAATCAGTGGTAAATCTTTTTTTCCATTATTTTGAGGTTTGTTACAAAATGGGAAATTATATACTGTTTATGAAACAGTATTAGTTATTATTTCAAGAGGTCGGAGACATAACAAAGGAATATATTGGTCTCATGCAACTCTGGTCTTTGCATCTTGGGCAGTATGAGTGGAAGGTTAGAAGTCAAATGAGGAACTTTCAAAAGGAGCTAAAGATAGTACTGACTGAATGTAATGATCGAAGACCAGAATCTTCAGTTCATTGGATACAATCATGGAAGGAAGCATATATATAAATAACAGTACAATAGAGCACATTACCAAAATCCTCAAAAGTAAAAGAAAGCAAAATATAGTGTCCCAATATTCCATTTGATACTATTTTGGCTAAGTGTCATGAGAAAATGGTTGAGATCACTGGTCATTAGCACATGAACTGAGGAACAGGAATTTTGTTTATCATAGAGAGTAACTTGGACCTATTAGGAAAGAAACTCTTCAGCAGAGGAACAGTTTTATTTGTAATTTCTCTGATTTTGTTCCAGAAGTCTTTTGAAATATTAGTCAAAGCTGTTTCTGTCAGGGCTTCATGTTAGAAACTGATAGCTTCTAAACTTTTTCTTAACTGTATTTCTTTTTAATAACTGATTTAAGCTCTTGTCTCCTCTTTTGTGAAATTTTTTAAGATTAAAATATGTTTAAAGTAAAAGCATTATGTGATAAAAAGCTATAGTTTCTGAATAGAATAATGCTACTTTTGTGACATTTTCTTTTCCCACCAAAAGTGAGAAGTGAATCCTTGCCTTTGTACATCCAGTTTTTCATGGAGGACAAGAAGTCATTTTCTTCAATGGCTGACTTCCAGAAGTTTTGCCTGAGTGTTTTTTGTCAAGCATATATTCCCTTCTTTAGGCCTTTCTATATAGAGCCCACAAACATCGTCAATGTGAATGATGTCATTCAGAGGGTTAGTGACCATGCCTCTGCCATGAACAAGAGGATTCATTACTACAGCCGGCTCACCACTCCTGCAGACAAGGCACTGGTAAGAGGCAAAGCATTGCTAATTGTCTAAAGTGGAGTTGAAATGAACAGTGAACAACATAAACCAAGGGAACTCCCACTGGTTGAACTTTTTCTGGCTGTATTCCAAGGACAGCATGATGCACAAAGATGGTAATTAATACATGTGCTCTCAAGCTAGTTCAGTCTTCTCTGGCCTGACATAAGATATTTGAAAATATCTCCTTGCTGACAATAGCCTGGAGATGTTTGGAATAAATTTCTCTTATCTATCCCCTATCCCAAGAGCTCCGTGGAAGATAAAATGCTTTTGAAGTAGTACCTTACATCTTTGACTAAAAATATAGTAAGATTCTGCTTCAGTGTCTTCAACTTTTATGTTTGAAGATACAAAGGAAAAATGTTTTCAGAACTGTTCTGAAGAAGTAAAACCCTGAACTAAACTCAAACATGTGTATAATATTTTCCTATTTGGCAATATCCCTTTTTAGATAAAAAAACAATAGTGATATGACCAGATACTGTATGTTTAGGCTTTGCAGGCTACATACTGTCAAAAGTTGTTCTTTGGTTTGTCTTTTTTATTTTTTTGGTTGGTTGTGGGGCCTGGGCCTGGGCCTGGGCGCTAGCTCAAAGCTAGTGCTCTTCCACTTGAGCCACAGCGCCACTTCCAGCTTTTTCTGCTTATGTGATGCTGAGGAATCGAATCCATGGCCTCATGCATGCAAGGCAAGCACTTTACCACTGAGCCACCTTCCAAGCCCCTTTGTTATGTCTTCTAACCATTAAGAACTTAAAAACATTCTTAGGGAAGGGCAGTAAAGTCAGATTGAAGGTCAAGTTGAGCCATAAGTTATAAATCATAACATATCGATCATTGCTCATCTAAAATCTTTAAAAATATATGTACATAAGTAATGTAGTTGCTTATAAAAATTATCACATATGAGCTATTCAGAAATTTGAAATCCTAAAGAAAACCAGGAATATTCCAGGAGAAAGAACATAGTTTTGAGAAAGGAACCAACATTTACTGATTCTGTCATTTCTGTTTATTTTTCTAGGTTGCTCCAGATCATGTAGTTCCAACACCAGGGGAGTGCTATGTATACAGTCCGTTAGGTTCTGCTTATAAACTCCAAAGTTACTCTGAAGGACATGGGAAAAACAATAGTTTAGTCACCATGTGAGTAATATAATATATATATATATATTTTTTTTTTTTGGTCAGCTGTGGGGCTTGAACTCTGGGCCTGGGCGCTGTCCCTCAGCTCTTCAGCTCAAGGCGAGCACTCTACCACTTGAGCTACAGCGCCACTTCCGGTTTTCTGGTGGTTTATTGGAGATAGGAGTCTCACGGTCTCTCCTGCCCGGGCTGGGTTTGAACCGCGATCCTCAGATCTCAGCCTCCTGAGTAGCTAGGATTACAGGCGTGAGCCACCAGCGCCCGGCTTGTAATATAATATTTTTAAACGCTGTGTGAATAGAAATTACTGATTAAGTTTTGTCTTTACTAAAATGCTTGAAGAAACTAATTCTCTATTATGTTACTCTGTTTTCAGTTTTATGATTTGGAATACCATGATGGGAACATCTATATTAAGTATTCCTTGGGGCATTAAACAGGTAATATAATTTTTCAGAACCCTTTTTGTTTTTTTGATTTTTTTGCTGTTATGGTAGAAAGGAACTCAAAGTCTCATATTTGCTCAGTTTACTTGCTCAGTTCATGCCACCACATCAGCCCAGGTTTTTGCTGGTTACTTTGAAATGGAGTCTCCCCTGACTTTTCTTCCCTGGCTAGCTTTTGAACTGTGATCTTCTAAATCTCAGCTTCCTGAGTAACCAGAATTAGAGGTATGGGCTACTAGTTCCCAGCTTCAGCACATTTTTATCTGAAATTGTTTCTATATCTATTATCCAAGCACTTGGGAAGCTAATACATGAAGGTTGTGAGTTCAAGGCCATCATGGCTACATAGTGAGACCAGGTATCCACAAAATAATACTAGTAACAACAACCACTTTGAATTATTTTTCTTTACATTGTAAGTTTATATAATTCATAGACTTCTATAAAGAAAATGAAATAATTATAGTTATTGTCAGATTTTTATCATGATTGTTTAGGGTAACAACATGGTTGTATATGAATTTATTCTTACATGATGAACTATGTCCTATATTTTTAAACAGGCTGGATTTACTACTGGAATGGGTGTCATCGTGTTGATGGGCCTCTTAACACTTTATTGCTGCTACAGAGTGGTAAAATCACGGACTATGATATGTAAGAATCTGACACAACGAAAATAGATTGTTCATATGGTATTAGTAAGATTTTCCCATTGAGGCAAATCCAAATGAGTATAATACATATGTGTGTCAATTACCTACTTTTTATTTCAAGATTTTTCTCCTCTTTCAGTCAAACTAATCAGTTATATATTGGTGGTTCCCTTTGAAATTCAGAAATGCTGGGAGTTTTTGCACTATACATTTAGTTTGGTACTTATTTCCTCATAAGAATAAAAACTCTTCATGCTTCCCAAGTGCTGCAATTACCAGCCTTGCTCAATTTTTTCTTTTTTCTTTTTTTGCCAGTCGTGGGGCCTGAACTTTGGGCCTGGGCACTGTCCCTCAGCTCTTCAGCTCAAGGCTAGCACTCTATCACTTGAGCTACAGCACCACTTCCGGCCTTTTCTGCTTATGTGGTGCTGAGGAATCGAACCCAGCATGCATGCAAGGCAAGCACTCTACCACTGAGCCACCTTCCCAGCCTGCTCAATTTTTTCTGATACTAGGGTTTTAATTCAGGACTTACTAGGCAAGCACTCCAGCCCTTCTGCTACATCTTCAAGTCCCTTTTTTCTTTATAATTGCTTTCCTGGTTGTGTTTCATATTTTTTTCCTGGAACCATTCTTAGACCTTAATTCTCTTACCTTGTCTCCCACATAGATGAGACTATATACATTTACCATCATGCCCACCTTGTTTGTTAAGATGAAGGCTGGCCTCAAATATAATCCTCTTGATCTCTGCCTCCCAAGTAGGTGGGATTGTAGGTGTGAACCACAGTGCCTGACTTGTAGTTTTTATCTTGTAATAACTGAACGGCTATATATGATAACTCTATGTGTTTGTTTATTGTTCTACTTTTTTATGTTTAGTTAATTCCTTGGGTTGCATTGTTCTGATACTCCCCTAAAATATTTTATACCTGCTTCATGCTTCCTTGTAAAATAATTGCTTAAAGTTTTCAAAGAAAAAGGAAAATTCTGGACTAAGGGTATAAACTCAGTGATAGATAAGCATGCTTACAGCTTACAGTCTGCAAGGCTCAGCACATAATTGAAAAAGAGGCCAATTATAAAATTTATTTCTATGATCTATATAGCTATGAATGAATGATACTGAAATCTTAAGCTTGCTGTTATTTTATGTGTTTCCATCTTTGTTTTGTTTCAGTACTTTAAAAGTAGTACATTTTCTTTAAGTATATTATTTATTTATATTCCTGCCCCCTTACGCACAAATCCCTTAGTGTACTCATGGTTCTGCTGAGCTCTTCATATGACATATTAGATCTTTATCTGTAATTTTCTTTAAATTTCTTTCCAATTCAATATTTAAATGAGTTTTAGAAGAGTGTCTTTGTGTTTTCTGTTTCTTTAGTTGATACAAAAGTATATAACCTTTGACATTTACATTGTGTTCTAACTGTTCTGTTAATGTTTTAATTCATTGTTCATTAAATTGACATGTGACTTAAATTATGATTTGAGCTGGGCTCATACCTATAATCCTAGTCACTGAGACAGCTGAGATCTGAGGATTGCTGTTCCAAGCCAGCTCAGGCAGAATAGTCTCTGTGAGACTCTCATCTCCAGTTAACCACTCAAAAACTGGAAGGAACTCTATGGCTCAAATGGTAGAGAGCACAAAGATGTTCAGGGACAGTGCCCAGGCACTGATTTCAAGCCACACAAGCAACCAAAAAATAGATTATGATTTGAGAGAACTTTTATTCATATTTTTATCTATATATGTCATCTATTAGTGTTTTCTATCCATACTAGTGGGTTTGTCTATCCTTGCTTTATCGCTTGCTTTTGTTAATTATAAAAGGTTATTTTGCTATAAAGTTTTTCAACTCATTTATACAAAATAATTTATTTTTGTGTTTGTTTTATATTCTAACTGCTTTTATTTCTGGAGGTAAAGTACCCAGGATGTTTTGCCAAATATCTTGAGTTAATTAGGAGAAAACAAGTTATGAATATGAAATATTATTTTCTTTCTTTCTGTTTTCACCTAGGTTCATTAGATACCACCAGTTGGGAATATCCAGATGTCTGCAGACATTATTTTGGCCACTTTGGGCAGTGGTCCAGTCTCCTTTTCTCCTTGGTATCTCTCATCGGAGCAATGATAGTTTATTGGGTGCTTATGTCTAATTTTCTTTTTAATACTGGAAAGTTTATTTTTAGTAAGTATCAATATTATATGCTTTATTATATTCTCAAATACAGTTACTACTGTTCAGTTTAAGTTCCAATCTTAAATTCTGTGACTTTAGGAATGTAAAGTAAGAAATAAATTAAGTGTATAATTCTTGAAAATATACTGGATTTAGCTTATATTCTTTTTTTAACTCAAATAACATGTATAATAATTTCAAGCATTTTCAAGAAATAATATTCAAAATCTCTAATACAAAATATATTTATCACTGAGCAGATATTGTAAACATTGTTTCAGGCTTCACCACAAAATATTTGTACTGTAACAGGAAATTTTATAAAAGTCATTGGTATTTGTTGATATAGAACTTGATGTGTAGACCGTAGGGGAAACAAATTTTATTCATTTATTTTCACACATTTGATCTAAAATTAGGAAGAATAATAGAATTTATTTTATTAATATGTTATTTACACTCCACAGAATTATAATCTGCTTAAATCAACTATTTGAATTCTGAGCAGAGTTATTAGAAATTCAAACCAAATGTTTTTTCATATTATTTTTTCAATTAGATAATTTTATATTACATGTTGTTCCAATATTGATTCTATCCATGAACATAGACATTCTTTCTATTTCAGAAGGTAATCCTCAAACTTCAGCATCCTGAGTAACAAGGATTATAGGCATGAGCTACTGGTGTCCAGCTTTATTCAGTTTTTTAATTGTACTTTCAAATTTGTTTTTCCCCCCATTATTACCCATAACTCTTCACACACATTTTACAATCAACTTGTCAAGTTCTAGAACAGTACAGTTAGAATTGCCTTGACATAATATTGATTTCTTTCTCAGTCAGTATACTCTGATGTGATTTGGGGAGGGAGGTTAGGATTTAGTAAGAATTGCATTGATTTATAGGTGTGTAGAGGTTATTTATATACATTGTATTCCTACCTGTGAATGTGACAGCATATAGTTCTCCATATCTTTAATTCTTCTGAATTTTCTTGACAAAAGTCTAGAGAAGACTTTTTTTTTTTTTTTTGTCGGTCATGGGGCTTGAACTCTGGGCCTGGGCGCTGTCCCTCAGCTCTTCAGCTCAAGGCGAGCGCTCTACCACTTGAGCTACAGCGCCACTTCCTAGAGAAGACTTTTAAGAAGACTTTTTTTGTTTGTTTTTTGGGTCCGGTTGTGGGGCCTGAACTCTGGGCCTGGGAACTGTCCCTCAGCTCTTCAGCTCAAGGCTAGCACTCTACCACTTGAGCCACAGCACCACTTCCGGCTTTTTTCTTTTTGCTTATGTGGTGCTGAGGAATCAAACCCAGGGCCTCAAGCATGCAAGGCAAGCGCTCTACCACTGAGCCACCTTCCCAGCCCAAGAAGACTTTTTTCTTAGAGCCTTTTTTGTAAGTGTTTGAATTTAATATTTGGCACGTTTACTTTTTACTACAGGTAACTTCAAACATATATAAAACCAGAATAATACAAGAAAACATCATATTCCCCCCTCACCCAGCTTCACCAGTTGTCAGCATTGTACTAGTCAAGAATGACATACAGTAGTGATTCTCAACCTTTTTTTAATTATTGCTCCCTTAAGGGCTTTTCTAGACATTTTTTCCTAATCTTACCTCTTATGAAATTTTAATATAGATACACTGTAAAGCTTTTTTATGAGCTACACATGCATCTGTCATTTATATGTAAAAAAATTGTTTATTTTTCTCCCCTGGGAATAAATTTGCTCCCTCTTGGAATTTTGCCTTCATTGAAAAAGTGTGATCTATGTTATATTACCAATTTAATTATTATTACATGCATAGTTTTCTTTATTAGATAGAATTAAGTTACCAAAATAGACAAATCCACTATATATATTGGTTCATGCATGTATTCCTACTATGTAGGAAGCTGAGCAAGAGGGTCATGGTCCAGGGACATCCAAACAAAGCAAGATCCTATCTCAAAAACAAAATATAAACAAAAGGGCTAGGTTATGGCTCAAGTGATACAGACCTTGCCTAGCATAGGCTTCAGGCCCTGGTTGAATCACCAGTATTGGAAAAATGAAAAGAAAAAAAGTCATTTTTGCCAGAAAAAAAGAAAAAAGAAAGAAATACACACAAAAGAAGAAAGGGAAAATACCTTTTGTCAGATCTTTTTGACAAATGGATGCATGTATATATGACACATTTTCATCAAGAAACAATATTTTTATCTGTTCAGAAATAGTATTTTTCATTATTCAAATTATTGGTTGATATTATATACACACCTGAGTTCTAAATGTTTATTTTTATAACTGAGTTATAAATGTTTATGTTAATTTGAAACTTGCTGGATTCTTGTTGATTCTAACTTTGTAGTTGCACTGAAAAAGATTTAGATTGTGAATAAAAAAGACTACTTTCTGTCTAGTTATTTTAAAATGGTTTGCATGTATATTACATTTATGTATATATATACATATTTCTAAATAAATACATGCATGTGTATATATGTTGACTGGTATATCATCTTTATGTAAAGTTGCACAGAAGCAGTGATAGTACACATTTTTATATTGTTGCTGAGGAAATCTTTCTAGTATAATTATATTTTGTTTAGTGGTACTGATGTTTGAACTCAGTGCCTCACACTAGGCAGAGTGCTCTCCTACTTGTGTACTGTCCCCAGCCCTTTTTACTTTAGTCATTTTTCTAATAGGGTCTCATGATTTTGGACAGGCTGGTCTGGACCACAATCCTCCTCTATTTATACTTCCCACATAACTGAAATGACAGATACATGCCAGCATGCTCATCTGTTGGTTGAAGTGGGGGGGAGGGTGGGCCCTGAACTTTCTGCTCACACTGGCCTCAAACCTCTACCTCCATGTAGCTAAGATTTCAAACAGGAGCCACTGTATCCAGCACCCTTTAGTAACTTAAAATATTATGCATATGGCTTCCTTAAGTATTTTATTAATATGTGCTGAATTTTATCTGGCACTTAATCTGCAATTTTTGAGATCCTCCTTTTCTCTTTAAATTATTAATATGCTTAATTAAAGAGAGATATTTGTCAAATCTAAACCTTTTGTTTTAGGATAAACAGATTTGTTTAGTAGTCATGGTTGATTTTTTTTTTTAATTCCTGACTAGATTGCATTTGCTTTTTGGATGCATAGGAGCCTCTTTTCATAAGAGATATTAGCTAGCTTCTCATGCTATTTTCCTATGGTGATGTAACAAATTACTATTACTATAACCTAGTGGCTTAAAAATGTTTTTTCTTTCATAATTATGGAGAGTATAAGGTCAAATTAAAATGCCAGATGGGCCCTGCTCCCTCTGAAGGCTTTAAGAATGATTCCTCTCTTGCTTAGTTGTTTTTAATCCTTGGCATTCCTTAGGAAATAACTGTATTCCAATTTCTCCTTAATCTTCACATGGCAGTTTTCCTTTTGGGTGTGTCCAAACACATAATCATGTGAACATATTACCCTTTCTATAAGGACACCAGCTACTGACTTTTGAGCCCATTTAATCCAGTATGACCTCATATTAATTTGATTTAATTTACAAAATCTCTATTTCCAAATATAGTCACATTTTGAGATTCCTATTGGTAGGTTTTCATTTCTTGAAAGATACCCTTCAACCCAGTACATTTGATACCATGGTTTTACTAGTCTTATATAAGTGTTTGGCATGAGAAATGATGAACTTTCATAACTTGTAATATAAAATCCTAAATAATACTTAGAAATTTTTATAAAAGGCCAGAACACTATACTGATGCTTTTTTTCTAGTTTGAGAAATATATGGTACAATTAAAATATAGAAGTCTTCTATTTAACTTATTTTCATCACCTTAAAACTGAACACCTTTTATCATCTCATTTAGGTTTTGCAGCAAATACTTTCAAGTAATTGTCACTACAGTTATAAAAGGTTAATATCATACTGGGCACAGTGGTTCAAACTTGTAATCTTAGCTCTTGTGAGGCAAAATGGGATTGCGGTTCAATTCCAGCATAGGCATAAAATATTTTAGCTTTTTCTTGCAAGAGACTTTTTCTTAATTAATGGCTGGGGTATGGTGGCATGTGCTTGTTTTCCCAGCTATGGGGAAAGCACAATGTCTGGGTGTTGTATTCCCCAGGGGTTGTGTGTGGTGGCTCAAGTGTGCTATTCTTGCTATTTAAGAGACAAAGATAGGGGAATCACAATTTTAGGCAAGAATCCTTAATATCGCCCCAGCTGTATGGGAAGCAAAATATTCACTAGTACACATCTGTCATATTCAATGACATGGAAAACACAAATAGAATTGCAACCCAGGATCACCAGGCATAAAATAAAAATGTATCTTAAAATAACCAATGCATAAAGAGGCTGGAGGCATGGCTCAAGTGGTAGAGCAGCTGCTTTACAAACATGAAACCCTGATTCCAATCACCAGTGCAGACCCCCCCAAAAATTAAAATTCCATAAAATAAACCTTACAGGTTAACAAGAAAGCACATTCTTTGCTAAGTGTTTTGATACACACCTATAAAACCCAGCACATGAGATGTGGAAGACATGACTATCTTATTTGTTTTGGAGGCAGAATTGTATGAAAGAACATTGTTATTCAGCCTTATATTCACTATAAAATATGAATGTTGCTGGGCACTGTTGGCTCACGCCTGTAATCCTAGCTACTCAGGAGGCCGAGATCTGAGGATCGCAGTTCAAAGCCAGCCTGGGCAGGAAAGTCCGTGAGACTCTTATCTCCAATAAAGCACTAGAAAACTGGAAGTGGTGCTGTGGCTCAAGTGTTAGAGCGCTCGCCTTGAGCTGAAGAGCACAAGGACAGCACCCAAGCCCAGAGTTCAAGCCCCATGACCAACAAAAAAAAAAAATATATATATATATATATATATATATATATATATATGAATGTTTAGAAACCTGAATATGCATTTTTCTTTACTACTTCCTACTTCCTTTAGTACGGTTCTTTTGAATATAATTGCTATACAGCTCTCAATAGATAAAAGAATATACAATACTTTATAAACCCTTTTCCAAGTAAGTTTATATAAAATTATATATAGTGCTTTTTTAACTTTTTTAGTAATTTTCCAAGTAAATTTAACTGTATATGGTAAAAGGTTTTCCATTTTTGCATACTTGAGAACGTTATATAAAGTATAGATGAATGTACATAAATTGGTGTAGTATAGGAAAAGAATATACATAATCTTTATTTCAGTCCTTTACCATTAAAGAGTAGGTTTTTTTAAATGTTCCATCATGTAAAATATCACCTCAGTGAAGCTGAAAACAATGACATTATCATTCCTAAAAGTGAAAAAAACTGTAGAAAGTAAAGCAAAATTAAGGATGAAGTAGTTTGGGTTCAGTGTATTAGATGATACTATATATATTTTAAGCATCTCTATAAGTAAAAGGCTGACAGTAATATAGTTTATTATCTTTTATTCTTTATTAAACTTTTATTTTTAATTTTTAGATTTTATTCATCACATTAATGACACAGACAGTATACCGAGAACCAATAATAGCAATCCTGGTAAGTAGTTTGAGATTTATTTGTTTCCTTATTTACCATCTTTCTCCAATAATGATTTAACTTCTCTATATTATACAACTCAAAGAGGTTGTCAAAACATCCATATTTACCTGTAAATAATCAATATTCTCAAGGGATTGTATCACTTCTGATTGTTTCAGATGTCCAGAGCATACATCTCAGTTTGTCTGTTTGGTTTTAGATATTTATTATTTTAATGACTAATATATAGGCTATGCAAATTTGTAGTACTGGAGTTTTTTTTTTTTTCTTTTTGCTTATGTGGTGCTGAGGAATCAAACCCAGGGCCTCATGCATGCAAGGCAAGTGCTCTACCACTGAGCCACCTTCCCAGCAGGCTATGCAAATTTGTAACATATAAAATAATTTCCTATAATGGAGCAGAAGGAAATAAATATGGAAAAAATAATGTGAAGCTTTTGCTCCAAAATATTTAATATTTATTAATTTATTTAATTAAGTATTTATTAAAAGTCCATATTTGGGTCTGGACGCCAGTGCCTCATGCCTATATAGTCCTACCTATTCAAGAGTCAGAGATCAAGAGAGTGATCTTCAATCAAGAGATTGAAGGCCAGCCTGAGCAAAAAGTTAATGAGACCCATGACAATAAATAGCTTTGTGCAGTTTAACATGCCTGTCTTCTCAGCAGGAGGCTGAGTTAGTAAGGGTAGTAAGTTTCAGGCAAGCCCTAGGGGAAAAAAAGTCATTACCAAAAGCTAGTCCTGCTGGGCACCCATGGCCTGTAAGTAGTTAGCTACTTATGAGGCTGAGATCTGAAGATCACGATTCAAAGCCAGCTCAGGCAGGAAAGTCCAGGAGACTCTTATGTCCAGTTAGCCATGAGAAAACTGGAAGTGGCGCTGTGGCTTAAGTAGTAGAGTGGTAGCCTTGAGCTGAAGAGCTCAGGGACAGCACCCAGGCTGAGTTCAAGCCCCACAACTGACAAAAAAAAGTCCAGATGTTTCACATCTGTCATACTAGCTACATACTAGGAAGCAATCCAAGATAGCTGGAGCAAAATGTGAGACTATATTGAATATAACCAATGCAAAAAGGGCAGGGGGGCATGGCTCAAGTGGTAGAGCACCTGCCTGGCAAGCACAAAGCCCTAAGCCCAAATCCCAGAACACACACACACACACACACACACACACACACACACACACACACGCGTGCGCACACACACAGAGCTTGGAACTGGAGGTATAGGTCAGTACTAGATCACCTGCCTAGCATATATGAGGGACTGGATTCCATCCTCAGAACCAAAAAAAATTTTTAAATTAAAAATTTTAAAAAGAAGCCCTTGTGGCTTTAATTCAATATGGAAGTAATAAGAAAGAAAAATGAGCATAATTACTAATATAACATTGTTAATAATTATCTATTAATCTTGACTATCACCTAAAACTTTTGTGAGATATATAATATACATATACATATATATCTATATATATCTATCTATATAAAGCCCATTATGTGTTAGAAGCTGTTTTAGAAACTGGGGGTATATAATAGTGAAAAGACAATAGTTCCTCTTGTGTACATTGCAGTGTTTGCCATCCAGTGTCATACTTTGCTCCTTAATAAAACCTGAATAACCCATTATTTGTTAACATGAGAAAATGAGTGAGTGAAGAACTAGCCTTTGTTTCTATGGATACATACAGACCTTCTAGTCCTTCACCCCAGAATTTTCAAAAGACCAAATAGTATCTTTGGCTTAAAGAGAAATTGATTTTGCTGTAATGCTATTTTGATGAATGTTGATGAAACTATAGTTTAATTAGTATCTCAGTGTTTCTTCTTCTATAGGTAGTAATTAAGATCATAAATAATCATAGTTACATTGATAATTTGTAGAGTACCATCAGTAAAATCAATTTACTTTGCATAGCAGTGTTTTATGTTATTACTACCACCACTTGATGCTTATTTTATTTTATTTTTTGTAAAGATGCTGTACAGATGGGTTACAGTTACATGAGTAAGGCAATGAGTACATTTCTTGTTGAGTATTGTTACCCCTTCCCTTGTTGTTTTCCTATTATCTCTTCTCTCCTCCACCTCCCTCTTCTTCCCCCACCCCGCCTGAAGGTGTAAAGTTCATATACTGTCTTATGGATATCATTGTTATAGTGGGTCCTCCTGTGTCCTTGTTTCAGCGTTTTGTTATTCCCCTTTCCCTCCCTAAATTAGACAAATGTATATACAAGATACAGGGTACCAAAATCAAGTACAGTGACAACAGGGGATATACCATAGGGGGATGAACATACAAAGGAAACAAAAAATCACATAGTACATTAAAAACAACAACAAAGAAAGACGTCTTGTGTCCATATCTCGGGGTTCATTTGAACAGTGTGGTAAATAAGACTGTTACCAAACAATCCAACTCAATTAGTGTTGAAATTTACAGCTAAGGTTTATGTACACATGTTCTAAATGTTTTACAGGAGCCCTAAAAGGAATAAGGAATCCAAGGCACATTGATGTTAACTTGCCCAAGAACACGTTAGTTAAGTGGCAGAGTAATTCATTATTCAGGCAGTTTGTTTTCATAGTCTGAAACAAAATTCTACCCGAAGAAAAAAGTGAGAGAATAAGGAAAAAAACTGAAATGTTAGGCTTTGTGTCACGAAAAATATGGGAGGAGAATAAAATTCAAAGTACAATTAATACTAAATATTCTTTTCACTTTGGAAAGTGATAAGCTTGATGTTTGCATAATGTATTTATTTTTACTAAGATTAAGCATTCTTCCAAGTGAAGTAAATTTTTATTGCTTATATTTTTTAAAAAGAGATTTTTGTTAGCTGAGTATATGGTACACACTTACATTCCCCAACTACTCAGGAGGCAAAGGCACAAGGACCTCCTGTTCAAGGCCAGCCTGGGCAAAGTTGTTGAGACCCTATCTTGGAAATAGAATTTAAATATAAAATAAAGTAAAAGGATTGAGGATATGGCTCACATGGAAGAGTGCTTGCCTACAAGCTAAATGCCCTATATTCAATCTCTTGTATAGGAAAGGGTGTGTTCTTTACAAAAAGCTGACTCCTACCTACTCAGGAGACTGAGATCTGAGGATCAAAGTTCAAAGCTAGAAAAAAAGTCAGATGCTTAATTTCAGTTAACCAGCAAAATCCTAGACTCAGAGGTATAGCTCAACCGGTAGAGTGCCAGCTCTTAAGGGGTCAAACCAAGCAAAAAGTTCAAGGTCCTTTGTTCAAGTACCAGCACCAGTTCTAAAACAAAAGCAAACAAATAACTCCCCTCCCCCCCACTTCTGGCAAAAGCTCTATTGTGAAATTAGAAACCAAGTAAGAACGTTTTATACTCTTAATAGGAAAAATTACTATCTATAGATCAGTGTCTCAGTTATCTGAATACTCTTAGGTGTCTATCACATATCATTGATAGAGTTTTTTGTAATACCATGACAACTATTTCTACTGTTTTTATTCCATCATTGGTTTTGTTTGTTATTTTAAAAGTTTGGTCTTTGTACGAGTTGTTAGTACAGCAGTTACCCTATATGATATTTCTTATGTTATTACACAAATAAGACTAAATACTTTATAGCTTAATATTTTCTCTGGTAATGGAACCAAAAAATGTTTAAAAGGATATTTTTATAGTTTCCAGTAGAGGTTAAGGATATACTTCCAAGTTTTTTTGAGATTGCCTCAGCTCTCATTGTTTAGTTTTAGGTGGAGTCCTAATGTGCCTAAATATAACCTTCTTTATTTTTTTTCCAGAAAGGAGATCATAGTTTTTGGATTTTGTAATGTTCTCATTACAATGCTTTTTCATTACAGTGATTTGTCCAAATGCTGGGAGTGGTGGCCATCCTGACAACAGCTCCCTGATTTTCTTCACCAATGACACGGAAGTTGAACAGTTCGCAAAGTGGTGGAATAAATCCAAGACAGTACCCTTTTACCTTATAGGGCTCCTCCTGCCACTGCTCAATTTTAAATCACCATCGTTTTTTTCAAAATTTAATATCCTAGGTAAGACACAAGACTAAGTTGTGGAACCTCTGTGTCATAGAACATATATATGGTCAATCCTGTGAAAATATTTAACTAGGGAAAAAGTTGCCTTCCAGGGCTGTTTATCTATATTTACTGTGTTCATCCATGTAGTCTTTTTTGTTTATTTCTGTTTTCTGTATTGATTAGCACAGAGAAAAATATAGATGATCATTTCAAGTCTCTTTTTGTTTTTGGCATTTTGAGCCATGAGTTACTTGGTTTCCCATTCTAAATTAGTGAGCAAAATGGATATTATGTGATTCTTCTATTTCTAAGAGTTGGATATTATGACTTAATAAAGGAAGTAAAGAAATGTCTTTTCCTGTAATTTCTATTTGAGTATTATACACAATTATCACCTGACTTTGAGCATGGGAGATTATTCTGTAGTAGAAGATACTTTTTCCCTCCTCTCAGCCCCTCATATTGACACTCTAACCCAGAGCCTGGTACATGATGGGTTAAGTGCTCTACTACTGAGCTGTACTCCCAGTCTTAGCTCAGACTTTCAGATTTTTTTTTTCTGCTGTTCTTTTTTTTAGTACTTGGGTTTAAACTCAGGAGCACCCACTTCCTAGACAGGTACTTTCCCACTAAGTCATACCTCTTTCCTTTCCTTTTCTGCACAGGCCATTTTTGATATAGAAGCTTGCTTCCATGGCTTGGGTATATGTCTGGATCATGATCTATTTTTCTCCATAGCTGAGATGACAGGCATGTATCATCATAGTCTAGCTTCTACCATTGAGATGGAGACTTTTGTGAACTTTAGTCTTCCAATCTCAGCCTGCCATAGGTCGGATTGCAGGATTAGATATTAGCACCCAGCTCTATTCTGTGTTTTTCTATCTTCTTCAGTATTTGTTCTATTTTAGAATGCTCTTATTTTTTAAAGGAGCAGACATCTTTCTGTAAACCCTGTTAATCTGAAATCACAAAAGTGACATTTTGATCCCATTTAAGTTGGCAATAGGGAAAAAAGAAAATACAAAGAATCATTTATTAATAATTGGTAGATTCAAATACTTTATAGGATTTTGTCTGTCTTGATCTGATCTCCCTGTAAGACATCTGTAGTATATAATAATCAGATTATTTATTACCATAAGGAACCAGGAGATGCCAACCCAAAATGTGGATGAGTTTTCAGAAAAATGAATAATGTCTCTTTATCACAAAGTAGAATTCACTATAAGCTACCATAAACACAAAGAAAAATGTGGTTATATAAGCCCTGACCTCTTGTTTTCATCCTTTCTGAATCAGCTAATCTTTAAACCCACAGTAGAGCTTATACAGCTCATTTGTGGTTTCCTGACTTGCTTGCTGATTTTCCAGTGGAACAAGTCTTTCTAAAGTACATAAACTGATAGAAGGCTTTTCTCGGTTGGACAAAACAGTCACCAGACTTGGAATCAAGTTGATTAGTCTCCATTTCCTTTAGGATATTCTGCTTTTGTCCTTTTTCTTGGTATTTTCTCTATCCCTTTCTTCTGCAGTTATAACTTTTAAGTATATTCTAGGCTTCCTGAGTGTAGCTCAGTACTACAGTGCTTGCAAAAGGGAGAGAGAGAGAGAGAGAGAATGAGCAAGATAATGGGTTTGATCCTCACTACTTCAAGTATCTTTTTTAATTTTTATAATTTTTGTGATGGACTCCTTGCTTGTATTTTACACCAAATTCAGCTTATAAGTATTAAAGAGTCTTCCATTCAGAAGTATAGGAACTATTTTCACTCAGGTCTTCTTTGGCTAACTACCAAGTTTGTGTTTGTTTCTTTGTAATTGACACAATTTATTCTATTTTTTTTAGATCCCAGCTAGGTTTTAGTAAGGATAATCAATAAAGCTAATGGTGATCCAAACTCAGGTGAAAACATGGAAACAAAGCTTGAATTTTAAAATAGTATGTAAAACACATAGAGATATAAACAGCAGGGCTGGGAAGGTGGCTCAGTGGTAGAGCGGTTGCTTTGCATGCATGAGGCCCTGGGTTCGATTCCTCAGCACCACATAAGCAAAAAGAAAAAAGCCGGAAATGGCGCTGTGGCTCAAGTGGTAGAGCGCTAGCCTTGAGCTGAAGAGCTGAGGGACAGCGCCCAGGCCCTGAGTTCAGGCCCCACAACCAGACATCCTCCCCCCCCCAAAAAAAAAAGAGATATAAATAACAGTTTCTGTTTTTGTTTTTTTTTCTTACAGGCACAGTATCTGTTCTCTATTTGATATTTTTTGTTACCTTGAAGGCTATTCGCTTGGGATTTCATTTGGAATTTCATTGGCTTACACCAACAGAATTTTTTGTACCAGGTAAGTTGTTTTAATATATAAAAAATTAATGTTACTATAATGTAATTTTTATTAATATATACTATACTACAAATAATAGCATCTTTTCTTCTGAACATTTCCATTAGTGCTGTTAGGCTTAAAATAGGACTTAAAATAGGATTTCTTTGGATTCCTTGCAGTTAGGAGTAGCCATTGTCATTGCAAATTGGCATTTAATATTTAGTTAAGTTACACAATTTTAAAAAGCAAGTACTTATTCATTACAGTCTTCTAAAAAACATATCACTAGATGGGCTGGAAAGGTGGCTCAGTGGTAGAGTGCTTACCTCGCATAATGAGGCCCTGGGTTCGATTCCTCAGCACCACATAAGCAGAAAAAGCTGGAAATGGCACTGTGGCTCTAGTGGTCGAGCACTAGCATTGAGCTGAAGAGCTTAGGGACAGCACCCAAGCCCAGAGTTCAGGCTCATGACCCACCAAAAAAAAACAAAACAAAAAAAACCACTAGAATTTCAGAGACTTAGAGTGATGTGTATAGGTAATACTCATTGAAACCATTGCTCTCCCTATGTATTTTTTAATATTACTGTTTTTAGCCTAAAATTGTGATTATTAAATGTTTTGCTCCTTTTTTTCTTCAGTTTCTCCCAAATTTAGAATAGTTGGCACATGACAAAAGCACCATGAAACCATGAGTATACCAAATGAGGGGACAGATCAGAAAATAAAGTGATTGTTGAGCTAGTATATTAAAAACTAATAATTGAAAAAATAGTTCATATAGTTCTCCTGTTGGTTTAGAAACACTGTTTTGTTTGTTTTTTTCTATTCCTCATCTCACTATTCAGTAACATTGAACAGTATATTTGAATTGGTATATACTAATAATAAATACTAGACTAGTAATATAGGATTCCACTTCACTATTCAGTACCTTTCAAAACTTGTCATTGTGATCAGACACTGGTAGCTGGCTCATGCGTGTAATTAGCTACTCAGGAAGTTGAAATATAAAGATTGTGGTTTGAAGCCAGCCCAAGCAGGAAAGCCCATGAGACTTTTTATCTCCAGTTAACCACCCCCCCCCACACACACACAGAAGTGGAGCAGTGACTCAAGTGGTAGAGCACTAGCCTTAAGCTGAAAAGCTTGTAGACAGTGCCCAGGCCCTGAGTTCAAGCTCTAAGACTGGCACAAAATTGTGCTTGTGTTTACTATCACCCCATTTCTTTTTTTTTTTTTTGGGTCCGGTTGCGGGGCCTGAACTCTGGGCCTGGGCGCTGTCCCTCAGCTCTTCAGCTCAAGGCTAGCGCTCTACCACTTGGGCCACAGCACCACTTCCGGCTTTTTTCTTTTTGCTTATGTGGTGCTGAGGAATCGAACCCAGGGCCTCAGGCATGCAAGGCAAGTGCTCTACCACTGAGCCACCTTCCCAGCCCCTCACCCCATTTCTTTGTTACATTCCTGGGTTATCTAGGTATATGGAATAAGTATTTATTGGGAGTTGGTTATATTACTAAGGCTAGTTTTCTTTTTTTGGAGGGGGGGGTCTGGTCGTGGGGCCTGAACTCTTGGCCTGGGCGCTGTCCCTCAGCTCTTCAGCTCAAGGCTAGCGCTCTACCATTTGAGCCACCATGCCACTTCCGGCTTTTTTCTTATGTGGTGCTGAGGAATCGAACCCAGGGCCTCGAGCATGCAAGGCAAGCGCTCTACCACTGAGCCACCTTCCCAGCCCATAAGGCTAGTTTTCTTCAGAACATCTGACTGTATTAGTTTTGATTTTCAATTCTATCAGAAGTTTACAAAGACTTAAAAGTTATTGTAGATTCAGGAAAAAGGAAGTAAAGAAGTTGAAAGGCATTCTTCTTTCCAAAATTATGTTTGAAAATAGACACTGAAAATGACAATTTTAAGCTAGTTCTTTCATTGACTGATTAAAATAGTCTAAGGCATTATTTTCTTAAATTGGGTCTATTGTGACTAATAAAGAATCTTAGTGATGAAAGTTTCTGCTGATGATAGTACATTAGAAATAGAAGGGAAAGGACAAATAGTTATTCAGAAAACATATTTAAAATATTTAAAAAAGATATTGGCTCACTTTTTTCACTTTGCTTCTTTTTTCTTTTTTTTGGTCATGGGGCCTGAACTCCAAGCCTGGGGGCTGTCCCAGAGCTCTTCAGCTCAAGGCTAGTACTCTACCACTTGAGCCACAGCACCACTTCCGGCTTTTTCTGCTGATGTGGTGCTGAGGAATAGAACCCAGGGCCTCATGCATGCAAGGCAAGCATTCTACCACTGAGCCATCTTTCCAGTCCCACTTTGCATCATTTTTAAAGGATATGAAAAGGAAATATTGAATTTTTAAAAATCTTGTTTTAATATTTAGGATTCTGAAATTAATTACATTATAGTTGAGAAATTTCCCAAGAATGAAAAAATATCATAAGTCCTTCTCAGTTGAGGCTTATTAAAAGTCAGAGAACTTTGCAAGAAGTGAACCTTTACTGTCCTGATGAAAATTTACATTTATAGTTCTGATTGAATCATTAGTGTATATTCAGAATTGTGCTTTTTACTACCATAGATTCTAACTTGGAAGCTTTGCTTTTACTGTGTGAAATGCCCTTCTGTTTTCTCAAATATCAAGATGGTTACCATTAGAGAGACTTCTTTGGCCAACTGCCCATACCCATTCTTCCTTCTTGTGCCCTGTTTTTCTTTAGAGCTCTTATTACTACCAGATCTTATATACAGATATACTTGACTATCAAACTCTATTAATTGCTGATTTTGATATGTTGAAATATTGGCAAATACCAAGTTGTAATCTATTTGGTTCTTAAGTTTCGAAAAGAAGCGAAAGTTGAGATTTTTAAAAAAGACTTCTCAAAACAAAGTTTGCAAAATCTTTTTAGTTCTTGAATTCATATAGTGAAAAGTCAGATGGTAAGGAATACCTGTCTCAGTGTATTTTTCTTAGCTCTCTTTTTACTGCAATGTTAATGCCAAGAAAAGGAATACTCTTATTTTTAAACTTCTGTATTATTGTTGTATCCCCAAGTCCCATAATACTTCCTGGCACAGAGCAAGTACTCAATAACTAATGGTTGAATGTGTTTATTTTACTCCATCTTAAATCCTACTAAAGCAACATACAGAGAGAAGCAGTGAAGGGAAATCATAGGAAACAATTGTGTAACTGGCCTAGTGTGCAGCCAGACCAGATTACAGTAGGGAGACAGACCGCCCCAGGAGGGATTTTTTTTTTTCCCAAGAAAATAAAATACAAAGTATTTCTGATATGTTGTACCAGTATAGAGGAGTTTTGCAATTCTTTTGGAAAGTTTGGAGAAGAATTAAAAAATTAGGGAACCAAAAAAGAAAACAGTATTTTCTCAGAAAAACAAGCCATTGAAACTATTTTTATATAAAAGGAAATTACATTTTAATACATTCTAAGTCTTACATAGATAATAATAGTAAAAATAAACACTATTGATTGTATAAAGTCAAAATTAAAAGTACAGTTATAATAAGGGAATAGATAGTTGAAAAGTATATGACAAGCATAATATGAAAGTAATAAAACTTTCTGGAGGAGCATAAATGAATTAGGTCATTTTATTAAATTTTATTAAAGCAGAATATTTATATATAAAACTATGTTATCAAGTGTTAATTTCACAAATGGAACACATGGTACAGCCAGCATCCAGAACAAAGCTTATAATGTCTGTTTTTCTCAAGCCCCTATCAGTCACTAATAACTGCTATTCTCATTTCTGACCCTAACGTTGTTTTTATTTTTAGGTTTGAGGGTGTTTTGCTTTGTGTTTGTGAAATAGAGGTTTGAATTCAAGACTTGTTCTTTTGAGACAGGTGCTGTACCTCTTTAGCCACTTAGCCCTTTTGCTTTAGGTAATTTTCAGGTAGGTTCTCAAAAAAGGAAGGTTAGTTTTGTTTTCCATGTAGTGGGGGAAGTGAGACTGAATTTTGAACTCAGGACTCACACTCATTCAGCTGGCTTTTTAATACCTCAGCCATACCTCTAACCCTGCCTTTTTGCAGTTTATTTTGGAAATGGAAAATCTAGGGAATTCTTCGTGGGCTAGTCTCCATATCTCAGCCTTTTTACATCATATAAATGGAATAGACAATAAATATTCTTTGCATTCTGGCTTCTTTCAGTTAATATCGTGTGAGGTTGATCCACATTGGTGCATATGTTTGTAATTCATTTTATGTTTTATTTTCTATTTACCACAGTTTATCTTTTACCGCTTGACATTTGAGTAGTATTCAGCTTTTAACTCTTTTTTTTTTTTTTTTGGTCGGTCGTTGGGCTTGAACTCTGGGCCTGAGCACTGTCCCTCAGCTCTTCAGCTCAAGGCTAATGCTCTACAGCTTGAGCCACAGTGCCACTTCCGGCTTTCTAGTGGTTTATTGGAGATAGGAGTCTCATGGACTTTCCTGCCCGGGCTGGCTTTGAACTTAGATCCTCAGATCTCAGCCTCCTGAGTAGCTAGGATTACAGGAGTGAGCCACCAGCACCCAGCAGCTTTTAACTCTTTAGGTGTATTTTTATTGATATTTTTAAGGAATTATACAAAGAGGTTACAATTTCATAAGTCAGGTTATAAGTACGGTGCTTCTTGGGTGATGTCACCCCTTCGTTTTCTTTCCCCTATGTCCCCCCACCCCCATCCCTACCTACAAATTATATAGCTCATTATTTACATAGTGTACATTGAATGTAATTACTTGATTTGATCACTCTTCCTCCTGTTATTCCTGTGTCCCCTTTATGATTATTCTAATACAGTCTTTTGGAGAACATATGACTTTCCTATTGAGTGTATATCTAGGAGTAGAATTACTAGGTCAAAGGATATGCAGGTGTTCTGCTTTAGTAGAACTAGCCCAATAACTTTGCAAATGGTTGGACCAGTTTCCATTTCTCCCAGCACTGTTTTATAGTTTCTAGTTGCTCCACAACTTCAACAATGCTTGTATTTTCTGTCTTTTTCATCTGGCTTTTCTGGTATATGATGGTATCAGTTTATGGTTTTCATTTGCATTTTCTATGACTTTTCATAATATAATGACTTTTCATTAACTATTGACTCTTCAAGTCTTCACTCTTTTTTTTCTATTTAATTACTTGATATATTTCTTACTGATTTATAGGATATATATTCTGGATACAAGTCTTTTTTCAGATACATGTATTGCATTATCTTCTCCTTATCTTCTTTCCACCTTTTCTCTCTGTCCTCTCCGCTTTCCTCCATCCCCCTCCCCTCCTTTCTCCTCCCTTCCTCTCCTCTCCATAATGGAATCAAACACAAGGCTAGTGTTTTACACGCTCAGGCCCTGCTTATATTCACTCTTGATATGCATTTTCAAAAGAATAAGCAGTCTAGCTGGCCCCAGTGGCTCACACATGTAATCCTAGCTACTCAGGAGACTAAGATCTGAGGATCCTTGTTCAAAGCCATCCCAGGCAGGAAACTCCATGGGACTCATACCTCTAATAACCTACTCAAAAAAACTGGAAGTGACACTGTGGCTCAAGTGGTAGAGCACTCACCTTGAGCAAAGGACAGTGCCCAGGCCCAGAGTTCAAGTCCCAGGACCTGATTTTAAAAAAAAAGAATAAACAGTCTGAAAATAATCAGAGGTTTTGAGCCTATTTAAAACCACTTTGAAGAGAAATATACCTGTCTTCATTATTATATAATAATCACAATGTAAATGGTATATTCTTTAAAAAGGCATATTTTTCACACAAGAGTGTATACATTGTAGCAGCATTAGTCAGAATAGCCAGTGTCTGTCACTGATGAGTGTATAAAGTTTGAATTTCCATACAGTGGAATATTATTTCACAGTAGAAAAAGAATAAGTACTATGGTTTTGGTTGCCCAACTCTGAATATACAAAAAAAATTTAATAGTGTACTTGGTATTAGTGAGCCCTATATGAATTTATCTCAGTAACATTGCTTAAAAGAATCACAGGTTTAATAAATATTCTCAGAAACCATTTTCATTAGTTAACTTGGAAAACAAAGCAGGATTCCCACTCTAGTTTGGTAAGTTAGAACGTTGGTAACAGTGATGTCATCTTTTTTTTTTTTTTTTTGGTCATGGGGATTGAACTCTGGGCTTGGGCACTATCCCTCAGCTCTTCAGCTGGAGGCGAGCACTCCACCACTTGAGCCACGAGCCACTTTGTTTTCTGGTGGTTTATTGGAGATAGGAGTTTCATGGACTTTCCTGCCTGGGCTGGCTTTGAACCGAGATCCTCAGATCTCAGCCTCCTGAAGCTAGGATTACAGGCGTGAGCAACCAGTGCCCAGCGGATATCATCTTTCTTAATTAGAAAAGAATCAGATTACAATCCTAGTTAAAAACCATTTTTCACTTTATTATTATTTTGAACAATTGTGTATTGCATAAAATTTAAAACATATAGTTACTTTAAAATAAATCTTGCTGGAAGTGGTGCTGTAGCTCAAGTGGTAGAGCACTAACCTTGAGCTGAAGAGCTGAGGGACAGCACTCAGGCCCAGAGTTCAAGCCCCATGACTGACAAAAAATAAATAAATAAATAGAATAAAATAAAATAAATCTTGCTATTTGTATTTTTGTAAATACCCCTATAGTATATTTTTATCTATATATATGCATATTTTTAGAAATAAAAGTAAAATCACATTATAGATGCTGTATGACTCATGAACATGTGAATAGCATAAAGTCTTTCCCAATAACCTAAGTTTTAAACATGTATACCATTTTTCAACACTCTCTTAGTTTAATTAGTCCCATTTAAGTGAGCATTTATTTCTATTATTTTTAACCAGTGCTTTTTTGATTTGCAATTTCAGAATGTTAAGTGACTAATTTTTATCCCATGATTCCTTTTGTAGAAGTAGTTTTCTGGTAAATATATATGTTAGAAAAGTGAAAGATTTTAGATCAGACAGACTCAATTTGAATTCTGCTCTGCCATTTACTAAGTGTATGAGAGCAAACAGGAATATCTGATATAAGGAACTTACTTGCAAGTACTCTGCCTAGTAGAATACTGACCTTGAGGAACTTTGCAGAGACATATTAATATTCCAGGGACAAATAGAAACAGCTAAGTTTGTTTCCTATGTTTCAGCTTTAACATTTTTGTTTTTCTCCTAGAGCTAAGATTTCAGTTTCCACAGTTGACTGGAGTGCTTACTCTTGCTTTCTTTATTCATAATTGCATTATCACACTTTTGAAAACCAACAAGAACCAAGAAAACAACGTGAGTATTTGCACAATTAACTGAGTGATTAAAGCACTTTATATTGGGAGTACAATTATTCAGTTTGTTTCAACATCTTAATTTTTAAATTTAAGCTATAGAGCAGCGGTCCAACTTTTTATGTAAAAGTTTGGAAGGTAAGTAGGCTCTTGTAGGTAACATGGTCTTATTACAACTACCCAATTCTGCTATTATGGCATGAAAACAGCTATAGACAAGGAACTGAATGGTGGCTATGTCTACAAAACTGTATTTACAGAAACATACAATGGGTAAGATTTGATCCATGACCACTGCTTGCAGCCTCTGCTGTAAAGCAGTCACTTAAAAAAATGAAGTATAGCTAATAAGCCAATATTGGTGATTAACTTATATTATTAAAAATACCCACCCAACTAATCCAAGAGAAAATTGGGAAATGAGAACAACAAATAAACATGACTAAGCAAGCAAATTACAAGATAATTATATTTACAAATAGTCCAAATACTGGCATTAAAAAAGAGAAATTGTAAGGTTCATTAAAAATATATATATAATCTAGGCTGGGAATGTGGTAGAGTGGTAGAGTGCTTGCCTAGCACCCATGAAGCCTGGGTTCAATTCCTCAGTACCATGTAAACAGAAAAAGCCAGAAGTGGTGCTGGGGCTCAAATGGTAGAGTGTTAGTCTTGAGCAAAAGAAGCTCAGGGACAGTGTCCAAGCCCTGAGTTCAAGCCCCAGGACTGGTAAAAATAAATAAATAAATAAAATCTTACATTGCTTTAAAATATAAACACATTCCATTCAAACAATAAACATTAAATTGGAGCAGCTCTATTGATATCAGACAAAGCACCCCTGAGAACAAGGAGTAGTGTCAGATAAAAAGGAACATTACATAATTTTCCTCATGTGCCAGCTCAGCAAGAAGACATATCTTAAATCTATATTACCTAGTGAAAGAGTTTGAAATAAAAGAATAACTGACAAACTGAAAACAGACAAATCCACTATTAAAATTGGAGATTTTATCACCTCTCCCTAAGTAATTAGTAGAACAAATTAACAAAAATAGTTAAGAATATAAAGTATGAAAAATGCCATCAATCTACTTGATATGATATTTGTAAGTCCTCTATCACCAAGTACTGGTAACTCAGGCCTATAATCCTAACTACTCAGGAGGCTGCGACCTGAGGATCATGGTTTAAAAGCCAGCCAGGCAGGAAAGTCTGTGACACTCTTATCTCCAATTAACTACCAAAAAAAAAAAAAAAAGCTCAGAGACATTGTCTAATCCCTGAGTTTAAGCCCCAGAACCAGCACACAAAATCACACGCAAAATGGAAAAAAAAGTCTTCCCTCGGCAACAGAACACATTGTATTTATTTATTTATGCATGCATACATGTATGCCAGTCCTGGGGCTTTTTTTTTTTTGTCTTTTCTTTTTTGGTACTGGGGATCGAACCCGGGACATTGCACTTGCTAGGCAAGCGCTTTGCCACTGAGCTACATCCCAGCCCTCCTGGGGCTTTTGAACTCAGGGCCTGGGCACTGAACTTCTTTTGCTCAAGGCTAGTACTCTATCACTCCAGCCACAGCGCCACTTCTGGCTTTTTCAGGGTTTGTGGTACTGATTAAACCCAGGGTTTTCATGCATGCTAGGTAAGTACTGTACCACTAAGCCACCTTCCCATCCCCCACATTGTATTTAAATACACAGGATCATTTACAAGACTGTACTGCAATAGGTCACAAAACAAGTCTCAATAAATTTAAAAGGAAATTATGCTAAGTATGTTCTCTGACTAAAATGAAGTTACAAAATAATACCTACATTAGTAAAACTGGAGAAAGATCTCAAATTAAGAAAAAAAAAACCCTACTTAATTTTCTACCTTACCATATTAGATAGCAAAGTTAATTACTTGTTGCCATGTCTGTGGATTTTGAGCTCAGTTGAACAGTTTCTTACCACATAAAAGTCACAATGAAACTAGCAGAAGTTTAATAAGATGGTTAGTGAAATAATAAAGCAGGAAGGATTCATTGTACCTGAAGATTCTGAGAAGGCTTTGAGTTTGGCAAAGTAATTGTAAGGGTGAAAGATTTATAAGTTGAGCAAAGTAAGGTGTCAATGTAAGCATAGAAGGCAACTCTTCCACCTTCATCTTTACTGATACACATCTGACATGTTGCTTGTAAATGGAATTGTAATTCAGTTAATCTAGATTTGCTATACTTGTTAACTGTGTGATATTACCTCAAATTTCATTTTCCTTGACCGTAAAAACAGCATTAATGATACCTACCTGTCAGTGTTCAACATGACTTTACATACATTAGTAACTGAAATTTTACTCTTACTCCTAACATTTACAGCCTGTTTTATTATGCTAAATTAGACCAAATACCCAGAAGAAACCCATTCTGTAAAGTTGGCTTCTCATGTATTGAGTCATTTTATCTTTTAAAATGTACTTCATAAAAGAGACTTTACTACCAAAATCTCCGTAACAGTAGAGAACAAATTTTATTGAAGTCTCAGGTGTGTGTGTATGTGTGTCTGTCTGTCTGTCTGTGTCTGTGTCTCTGTGTGTGTTTGTGTGTCTGTTTGATGTTTGTTTGCATTCACCAGTCCTGGGGTTTGAACATAGGGCCTGGGTGCTGTTTCTGAGCTTTTTTGTTCAAAGCGAACACTCTGCCACTTGACCTACAGCTCCACTCCTGTCTTTTTGGTTGTTAGAGATAACCTACCCAGGCTAGATCCTCAGATCTCAACCTCCTGTGTAGCTAGGATATAGGCATGAGCCTCTGGCATCTGATGTGGTCTCATTTTTTAAATCTTAAATGTTCCTTCCTATTTTTATCATAATTATAACTAACTTGTCTTTCTAGTTAGTTTCAAAATATTGAATTACTCTCACATTGTGTGATTCCTACATGCACAAATCTTGATAGTAATCGAGATTAAATATATGAGGGTCCCCCCCCCACAACCTATATCAAATTTCAGTTACCACAGGATTTTTTTTTTGGTGGGGGGGTCCAGTTGTGGGGCCTGACCTCTGGGCCTGGGCACTGTCCCTCAGCTCTTCAGCTCAAGGCTAGCACTCTACCACTTGAGCCACAGCGCCACTTCCGGCTTTTTTCTTTTTGCTTATGTGGTGCTGAGGAATCGAACCCAGGGCCTCATGCATGCAAGGCAAGTGCTCTACCACTGCGCCACCTTCCCAGCCCATACCACAGGATTTAAACTGTGATTATTTATATTAAATAATATCTACTAGCCCTTTGGTTTACCAATCACTTTGTAAAAACCAAGTACACATCGTGATTAGTGACTAAACAGACCTGACTTCTAAGTCTTTCTCACTTTGAAGTCTACAAGTGTACTGTTCCCTTGTCATAGTAATCCAGATAGCATTTATAAATATTGATAATTGAGTTAGCAAACAAAGGTGAAAATGCAAGAGTAAAGCCAATATGATAATGCTGAAGGCAAAATTTAAATTGAACATAAGTGCAGTTAAAAAAAAAAGAAGAGCTCACTGTGGAATGTTGATACTTTGCCATTTGAGAGACTCCAGACCTGCAGCCAGAGAAGCTTAAAGGAAGAGAATCTATCACCTTAAACTTGGAAAGTACTTATCAAACTTGTCAACTCTAATCACCTATGGAACAGTTTCAAAACAAAGGCTTAAAAGCAAATGTTCATAGAGCTTCCATATGACCCAGCAATCCCACTTTTGGGCATTTACTCAAATGATCACAAAGAAGGCCATACTAAAGCTACCAGCACAACTATGTTTATCGCACCATTATTCTCCATAGCTAACATATGGAACCAATCCAGATGCCCTCAGTAGATGAATGGATCAAGAAAACATTAGATAGATGGATGGATGGATGGATGGATGGATGGATGGATGGATGGATGGATGGATGGATGGATGGATGTCCCATTTGTTAGGAAATGGAAAGACTTGGGAAAAAATACATTAAGTGAAGTAAGTCAGGCCCAAAGAAACATAGGTCCCATGGTTTCCCTTATTTGCAATAACTAGTATATGTCTGGGACAAGCAGAAAAGGTCAAAAGCTATGTACATGTGACTAGATAAGATGATGTTAAGTGAAATGAATCCCAAGATAGGGACACAAGAGGTTTTTTTCTTTGTTGCTGTTGTTTTTAAAGTACTTATAATGTACTATGTGATTTCTTTTGTTTCTTTTGTATGTTCTTCCCCTATCATACAACCCGTTTTCACTGTATTTGATTCTGGTACACTGAATCTTGTATGTACATTTTTCTGAATTGGGGAGGGGAAGGGAAATAAAAAATGCTGAAACAAGGATATAGGTTGACCCATTGTAATGTACTCATTCGGGGCTAGGAAGGTGGCTCAGTGGTAGAGTGCTTGCCTTGTATGAATGAGGCCCTGGGTTCAATTCCTCAGAACCACATAAGCAGAAAAAAATAGAAGGGGCACTGTGGCTCAAGTGGTAGAGCGTTCGCCTGAGCTGAAGAGTTGAGGGACAGTGCTCAGGCCGAGTTCAAGGCCCACAATGGACAAAAAAAAGAAAGGAAATGTACTTATTATCTTACTTATATAACTGTAACCCCTCTGTACAGTATCTTTACAATTAAAATATATATATATTGAAAAAAGCAAATGGTCAGCCTGGAACCACACAGCTCACACAGTAACTACTCAGGGGACTGAGATCATGGATCACACTTCAAATACAGCCTGAGCAGGAAAGTCTGTGAGACTCTTATCTCCAATTAACCACCAATTTTCCAAGTTCAACTTAATTTTCTGTATTTTTGTTGTAAAACCTAACCTTTGGGGGAGGTGAGGGGACAATATTATTTTTTATTAATAAGTTTATTTTATTGTGAAAATACTGTACAGAGGGGTTACAATTACATGAGCAAGGTAATGAGTGCATTTCTTTTTTTTTTTGGGGGGGGGGTCCAGTCATGGGGCCTGAACTCTGGGCCTGGGCACTGT